GTGTGTGTGTGTGTGTGTGTGTGTGTGTGTGTGTGTCGGCGGAGCGGCCTGGAAACAGGGCAGAGTTTTCCAGATCTTTTCAGTTTTTTTCACATTGAATTCAGAGGCCTTGATATTTATTTGGAAGTTCCTGATTTGGAAATAGTTTTTTTTTTTAAATAAAATCTTAATCTCATAAAAAAAGAATCAAAACAATTAAAACGTTTTTTTTTAGTAAAATCTACCCTGGCTATTTAGTGACTATGGTTTTGTGCATCTGAATTAAAATAAAATTGAAATTCATCATTATTTACATTAAGTACTTGTGCAGATCAGATTTATAATCTTAAACCCACGTGGAACTGAAGGTAAGCATAGATTTCTAATCTGAGTAATCTCTTGTTGTTACACTGCCACATTAACAAGATGGTTGCATTATGGGATTGTTATCAGCTTTGTCAAGACAGCAGTAATATTATTGGTGTTGCCCCTTTAATCTCTGCAGCTCAGGGGGATTTCAGTGGGATTATAGCGAGGAAGGGAAGTCAAAATAAAAAAAAAACTGATTCCTCTGTGAAGATTGTAAATATATAAGAAGGTATTTTAAAACATTTAACTGGTTTTGCAGAACATTTAATGGCTTTTTTTTTGTTGTAGTATTAAAATGATAAAAACTAGAGAAATTGCATTTCCTGGGAAAATGCTAGTGTGAATGCTTATTGCTGAAAACTTTAGCTGAAAGCTGCTGAAATTGAGCAGAACATGTTTAGCAAAAGTATTATTGTAAGTTTAATTTGAAAAGCTGAAAGAAGCAAAAAAAATGCAGAAAAACACTAAAAAGGAGCAAAAATACAGCTGAAATAGCATAAAAAGCTAAAGGCTAAAATAGCTGAATATAGCAGAAAGCAACCGTAAGAAGCATAAATAACTCAAATTAGCAGAAAGAAGCACAAAAAAGTAAAAAAAGCAGAAGAATAGAAGGAAGAAGAATTTTAGCTGAAATATTTGAAAAAAGCTAAAACTAGCATGAAAGTAGCTAAAATTGTCACAAGGAATTTAATTCAAATTCAATTCAATTCAAAAATACTTTATTGATCCCAGAGGGAAATTAGGTAATACTAATAGTAAAAGTAGTAGTAATAGTAGGTAATAGGAGCAAAACCAGAATGTAATGTGTTAGGTTCTGTAAAGATTTAGAAAAAAAAGCAGAAGAATAGCAGAAAGAAGTAGAATTTTGGCTAATATAGCAGCAAAAAGCTAAAATTAGCAAAATAGTAGCTAAAATTTGCACAAGACAGTAAAATAGAGCATATCCAGAACAAATTATGTAAGGTTTTGTAAAGATTTAGAAACTTTGAAGGATTTTTATGTTGCTGAAAATAGCCCCATTCAAAGTCAATGGGAAAAAAAGTGGCTAAAAAGTTGAAAAGCTAAAAAAGTATAAATAGCTGAAATACCAAAAGACATATCCGGCATTGCACAAAAAAGCTGAACATTTTGATATATGAATGGTTGAAGTAGCACAAAAATTGTGGAATGAGAAAGGTGCAGAAAAACATACGGAAGAAAAAAATGATCTCAATAGTGTGAATGCCATAAAGACATTCACACAATTACCCAAAAAAGTGGTAGTTTTATATATTTTTTGTTTAATTTTCATTAACGTGGATTTTATCCAAGTGTCAAAAAGCACTTTGTTTTTTTAGTAGCAGTAATTAGGGCTGCCACAAACGATTATTTTAATAATAGATTAATCACCGATTGTTTATTAGATTAGTCGACTAATCGGATCATACGTTAATTGAATATAAAACATACAGCTTATCACGTCAGAATGCAGCTGCTATTGTATAACCATCGTTAGATTTTAGCTATATGCTAACTAAAAATAATTGCTGTGGAAGGCAAGTTCTGCTCTGCAGATATTACACAGGTTTCTCTTTCATTTTCTTAAAATGATCCCACACTTTGAGCTCCGTTGCAGAGTAGCCATGATACCAGAGCCTGTCTGTATAATGTCTTGTGACGTCCACGGCCTACCCCAGTTACCACTACTGTGCATGTGTGTCAAGGACAGAAAGGCAGATGTGGCAGTGGAAAGTGTCAAAGTAGTTTGGAGAGAAAAACAAAGTAAAGAACAACAAAAAAGAAAACGATTAATCGATTATTAAATTAATAATCGATTATTTTAATAATCGATTAGTCGTCGATTAATCGGTTAATCGTGGCAGCCCTAGCAGTAATAAACATAAAGGAAATGAGTCTATAGAATATTTTTAGAAATACTTCCTTCACTTGTGGCTTTCCATGAATTTTCTTTTAAACTTTCTTCTACCTTCCAATCAACCAAAATGATTTAAAACAACAACAACAACACATTTGATCTTTTTCTGTAAATACAGGTCTATTTTCAGTCACCAGACATGTCCTGTGTGGGTTTCCAGAGTTTAGGTCAGCCTGTCTGCTCCCCCAGAATAACCCTGGCAGGTTAAACATACCACCGCAGACCTCTCTGTTCCTGGGGCAGCCTCTGTTCTTTAGCTCAGCTCTCCGGACGCAGTTATTATCGGCACTTCTCCTATTAATAGGCAGAACTGCTAAAAACTGCAGCCGTGTGTTTGTGTGGGGCGTGTCGAGACCTCAGACCAGCAGAGCCGGAGATAAAACTCGAGTTGTGCCTTGGCAGATGTTGTCGGTGGCCATGTTAACTCTGTCGGCTGCAGCGTTGGGTTCTGTCTCATGATCCAGATTATTTATGTGGTTTTTTTTTGAGCTCAGAGAGGGAGTGTTTGGGGAAGACGCAGTTAGATGATGGCAGGGTTTGAGCTGGGAATGTGAGGTGGTTTGGCTCACTGAGGGCTGTGGGTGTGCTGGCACAGCCGAGCCACTTGGTCCCCGCGGAGAGCCCATCGTACCCAACTGCTTGGCTGCGTGTTTTAGTATCTGTGTCAGTGTCAGTGTGCTTTTAAGAACAAAAAAAGCTCAGATTTTTTTTATTTTTGAAGACGTCGTTCTTCCTGAGATCCTGCCGTCAGTTTGCCCGTTCAGTTCTTCGACCTCTTCGCTCTCCTCGGTGTGGTACCTTCAGCTCTCCTGTCACATTTCGCCCCTGCCTGCCACATTCCTAGTTATCTCAGAGGGAGCTACATACCTGTTCTCAGGGTCACAGATAGAAGTCCGGCCTTTCTCCTCGTAAGAGTGCAGGACATGGAGTCAAAACAGAACCCAACAGGTCTGCTGTTTGTTGGCAGCCTGTTCAACACAAATAAAAATGTCCATTAGAATTTGTTACATTTCCTGAGATATTTGTCTTGTGCTACTTATATTCTCCTTTTAAAAAAAGAAATGAATAAATAAATAAAAATAGCCTGCTACCTCCTGCATAAATCTACCTGCTGTAAAAAGTTCAGCCAGCTATTGCTTACTAATCCCATTTACTAATAGACAGTGGTGGGCACAGTTCCCCTAAAGCACTAATAGGGGAACTAATTTCCTGATTAGTGCTTTAGGGCTTTTGCTAATTTTAAAATGTATTAGTGGATTAGCACTTGCTAAATTTATAGGCTAAATTCAGAAGCACTAACTGAGGTCTATAAATGTTATTGATCAACTTTAATGTTAACAGCTGATGGTGAAAGCTGTCGCACATTTTGTTCATATGTGTGTCACTTATCCACTAGTTGACAATATATTAACAATATATGAACCCAAATACAGCTGTGGAATGTCAATGATAAATCTTAAGAGAGCAACATGTGACTCATGTTGTCTGCTGAAGAATGTTCATGGGTTCACTGGGTTATTTTATTGCTTTAAAAATTAGCTTTTGCTAAAATTTTAGTGCGTTAGTGCTTTAGAATTAGGGGACCTAAATATTTGAGTTAGTGCTTTAGAATTAGGGGACCTAAATWTTTGAGTTAGTGCTTTAGAATTAGGGGACCTAAATATTTGAGTTAGTGTTTTAGGGCTAGTGGAACTAATTTTTAGATTAGTGCTGCCCACCACTGCTAATAGAGACGTTTGTCTTCTAGAATGATTTTCAATTGCTTTATTTCTTTATTTTAGTGAAACATCAAGTAGCCTTAAGATCAATCCTCATCTTAATCTTTTGTCAAATTCAAATTTGAACGTCAGGATCACTTATCTGGTTTAGCTAAAAAATAATTCTTGTGTTTTGTGGAAGTCTTTATTGGTTAAGAAGTTTAATCACTGAAGCACAAACACAAAATGTTTAAACTTTTTCTCACTCTCAAACTCTGAGCAGGTGACTCTGGTACATCCTGAAAACACCAGGGCGACACACACACACCTTGAAAAGCAGCTCTTTGTCCGTTCGGCAGAACAATTACCGTGGCTTTAGGTGTGCCGCCTTCACCCACCCATGCACCGACACACAGCCACATGCTCACACACTCCTCCGACTGCACTCCTGTACTATTACAGCAGCTCCATTGACTCCTCTTCTCTGGTCTGACAGAGCAAACAGCTGCTGGTGACTCAGACTGACTTCCTCTGATCTCCCCATTCCAACGCTCGCCCCCTTGTGGCGGCTCAGGGGTCTACCTCTTTATCTCTCTGTGCACCCGATTTGTAGCTGTTGTTGGAAGCACACAAGATTAAACTCTTGTTTGTAATTTGGAAAAAAATGTACACAACTCAACTTAATGTATTTTTTTATATAAGCATCTGAGATGTAAGTGTTCTTCTGTTTTGTCTGCAGCTTCTTGGACAGGATCGATGTCGTCAGGCAGAACGACTACACGCCCACAGATCAGGTAAGTGGGAACAATTTAAACAAAACACCAAAAATAGGCATTTTCCCTTCTAAAGTCACCACGCAAAAGAAAAGAAAAGATAAAGCAAATAATGGCAGAATTACAGGAAACTGGTGATGTTTCTGGGTAATTGGTACATTCTGGCTCACTGTCATGACTCACATTCATCAATACTGTTTATCTGGAATACCCAGCTGCTGATGTTTGTTGTGAAATGAAAAAAAAAAAGCTTTTATTTATCCTATTTTATTGTGTGCGACTGAATAACATGAAAACACTTTAAAAAACAAACTACTTGCTAAGAATAGAACGGAGGATTGGTGTAGCTCAGGGAGCACACAGATATTACCTCTTATATTTTTAGTCTTTGTAGAGTTTTGCACATTTTACCTTTATTTTGTCTTCTGTTTATAGGTCCTAAAATATATATAGTACACAAAATGGCTGTAGATTAAAGAACTTCAGCACAATCTTAAAGGGATACATGATTGGTTGTAACATTAGACTTTATTTAATAAATATATATTTTAAGTGTAAAATAAAGACTGTAAAAATAGGAGGATGTTCAGTTTTTATCATTTTTATACTAAAAGTTGAAAAAAATATTACACAGACGGGGCCATTTTATTTAGACTCAAAGCTTTTTGGGTAAATGATGACGTGGATAGGTCCTCGGTTCAAGGCTGCTAGCGAGCTATATCCACCCTGAATGTTAATCTTGGACGATATCTGATGATTGACTCTTTTAAATGAAACCAGAGAGCGTTGACAGAGAGGAGAAGGTAGAAACGACTCAGCCTGTAACTGAAAATATGGATGGAGGACAACAGAGCTGCTTCATGGAAGAAGAACCTCAGCTTATCCTGTTAGCTTTAGGATTAGCCCTGATCCTATCACCATATGTATGTATTAGCTCAGCGCTACACATTCTCCTCTCGTCACTGAGGTCCTCCATCCACATGACGGAGAGGGGAACACAAAAATGACTGAAAATATGGATGGAGGATCTCAGTTTAGCTTGTTAGTTTGTCGCGCTAGCGCCGAGCTAATACATATAAGGCAATATGGCATCAGGGCTAGCACAAAGGCTAACAGGCTAAGCTGAGGTTCTTCTTCCATGAAGCAGCTCTGTTGTCCTCCATCCATATTTTCAGTTCCAGGCTGAGTCATTTCTACCTTCTCCTCTCTGTCAACGCTCTSKKKTYWYWTWWAAGAGKCRATCATCAGATATTGTCCAAGATTAACCTTCAGGGTGGATATAGCTCGCTCGCACCGAGAACGTATCCACGTCATCATTTACCCAGAATGCTTCGTGTGTAAATGAAATGGCTCTCTCAGTGTTAAAATACATTTTTATAAATTTACAAAAATAAACAGCCTACAGTATTTTTACAGTCTATATTTTACAGTTAAAATATACGTATGTTTATCAAATAAAGTTTAATGTTACAACTAATCAGGGATCCCTTTAAATTATATATTTGTAGACTCTTCATTTATCCATGTCAGTGGAAATGGACACTGTAAAGTGGCCTTTGTGCAATCACACACAGCTGTGAAACCACATAGTGAAAATATGAAACGATAAATTTCTTATTCTGACAACAATATTGAAATAAAAGCTGTAAGGAACTGTTAGTCTCATTGATATTTAATTTTATTTTTCTCTTTACTCCGCACTCACCTCCACTCATCTCTCTGTTTCAGGACCTATTGAGATGCAGAGTACTGACATCTGGGATCTTTGAGACGAGTTTCCAGATAGACAAAGTGAATTTCCAGTGAGTTATAAACTTAATTTATTATAATGCGTGATTTAAGTAACGGCCATAAAGAAAAAAAAAAAAGCCTGCATTGTCAAAAAGCAGGAAATTGTGGATGGATTGTTCAGTAACTGTAAAAGATTCCTTTTATTTGCTTACATTTCTATTGTATTTATTCAGCTTTTATTGTGTAAATCAAACTGTTTACTTCCTGTTTCTCACAGTATGTTCGACGTTGGAGGCCAGAGGGACGAGCGCCGAAAATGGATCCAGTGTTTTAACGGTTGTTACTTACAATTAAAGGATTATATAGTTTTTATGAATGATTTATATTTTGATAATGGTAGATTTTATGGTAAATTAGAAATATTAACACAATTTAACATTGTGCAGCAGGTTTTATTCAGTGCGTGTCTATATGTCTATTTAAAGTCAGTGTAAAAACAGTGTTTTTCTTTTATGTAATATTTTCCTGCTGTTTGGTCCAGATGTGACGGCTATCATCTTTGTGGTGGCGAGCAGCAGCTACAACATGGTGATCAGAGAAGACAATCAGACCAACAGACTACAGGAAGCCCTCAATCTTTTCAAGAACATCTGGAACAACAGGTCAACAAAACATAGTTGCTTATTTCAAGCTGGGGAACTGTTTTCTTTTTCCTATAAACCCCTTTTTCATTTCACAAACAGATATTTTCTAATAACTGATACAGCTCTGCCTGTAGAGCAAGTGTCCTTCCGTGACGTTACGTAATTTAAGTATTTAAGACACTTTGTGGTAATTTTGTCCATTTTCCTCCACAGGTGGCTACGGACCATTTCTGTAATCCTCTTTCTGAACAAACAGGACCTACTCGCTGAGAAGGTTCTGGCAGGAAAGTCCAAAATCGAGGAGTACTTCCCAGAGTTTGCACGCTACACTACACCTGATGATGGTAAGCTGCCCGGCATCAGGGAAGACGTCGACCCTGATACTAATGATGATGATAAGTTCAGGTTAAGATACAGACAGGTCATCTCTAACCTTATTTATACAGTTTATGATAAATTACATATTTTTATTCTAATACAGAAAGTTAAATCTCAGTATTTGAATGCATGTCTTACTTTGTTTTTAGATCCGAGTTATAAAACATGGGAAAGGTGGACAGAACATTTAAATGTTCCAATACAGATTAATTTTTTTTTATGTTCAATGCATTTGATGCATAAACAGGTGTGCTGTGGTGTGTTTAAAGTTGACCCCATTTCTTTCTGGTTCTACAGCAATACCAGAGCCGGGGGAAGATTCTCGGGTCACCAGGGCAAAGTACTTCATACGGGATGAGTTTCTGGTGTGTACAAAGCACAAATTCACACAGGTAAAGCTCCTTTTACCTGTTTGAATTTGGTCAGTTTTATAATCTATTTTTTCCCCTATACATATATGACTTTAGTTTTTAATTCTCTTGAGCGGGGTGGCAGGAACTGTGATACGTAGACTGAACCTAAACCTTTAAATCCCATTCTAAAAAATCTATTTGCAAATTTTTTTTATTTTAAATGATCTGAGTTAGTTATTTGAAACCATACAAAAACCATAACACAATTTCTTCAGGATGACACGGGCTTCTTTTGCCCTTTTTTTTTTATTGAAACTTAAATTAATGTTTCTGGTTTTGTGAACAGAGTTTGTGCAAATTAAACAAATTTTGAAGGGAATGTCTGGAATTTTCCTTGTGGGCCCTAAATTATTTGTTCTTAAAAGTGTATTTTCTGTTTTACACAAAATCTGAACATGCAGTGAAAAAAATGAAAGTGTCCATTGCAATGTTTGTACCTTTTTGTATTTCCTGTATTTACAAACTCACAAGTATCTTATAAGGAAAAAGTCTAATCTCTGGCAATAAATACAGTATATTTTTTTCTATTTTAGTGGTTTAGTTATTTTAACTTTAAATACCAAATGAGCATATAGCCCATAGGGCTGTGTATTGGCAAGAATTTGGCGATACGATACATATCATAACAGAGGGGTCACGATACGATATATCCCGATATATTGCGATACTGTAAGCAAGGCGATATATTGTGATTTTTTTGTCCAAAAATTCTATTAAATAAAAACCTCTTTCTGAAAAAAAAAAATGAAAGCTTATGTTTACTTACAATGCTAATGCTACCCTTACTCTCAGGCACTCAAAAGGTAGTGGAGCCAAATGGCTGGCTCACTGCTGCCAACTAGTGGTCAGAGGCTGAACTACAACATAAAAATGAACGGCTAGCAAGAAAGTCGACATTTTAAAGCTTAATTAAAAATCGATACAGGGCTTTAGAAAATCTATACAGGATTGGGAAATGAAATATCGCGATATTTCAGTGTATCAATATTTTCTTACACCCCTAATAGCCCAAATAAATACCAGGTTTTTAAGTAACTGCAATTGACAGAAACATCTGTTTCACAATTTAAAACTTTTAAAAGTAATTTAGAACCACACATTTTGCATAGAATCATTGACATCCATTAGTTAATTATTAAATTATGACTGGTGATTTCTGTGAACCTACTTGGCCTAAAGCAAACTGCAGAGAACTAGTGAGTCAGCAGTCAGCTGGACATATTGATAAACAGTTACTTAGAAGTCAGGAGAAAAACATTAGGAAATGTAAACGACAGATGAAGTCTGAAGCTGTGACGTCATTCTGAATTGGAGAGTCGGTTGTAAAAGTGTCAGGACGTTTTTAGCATGTGCTCTTTATGCACACACAGAACTGACTCTGAAACGGTTCTAACCCTGATCCGTGTCAGCGGACGAGTTCAAAGCGTCAGCTCTAACTCGAGCTCGTGTCTGTTTCTGTTTTCCAGAGGATCAGCACGGCCAGCGGGGACGGCAGGCATTACTGTTACCCACACTTCACCTGCGCAGTCGACACAGAAAACATCCGCCGCGTCTTCAATGACTGTCGCGACATCATACAGAGGATGCACCTACGGCAGTACGAGCTCTTGTGATGCACACGACCTGTTCACCTGCCCGCCCCGCCCCGCCCTCCCTTGCCACCACCAGTTAGCCAACCACCCCTCCACTGTTACCAAATTCACCTAACAACCGAGCGAGCGCCTGACCAGCCTGCCCTCCCCTCCACCCTGAAACAACTTCTCCTGCTTCAGAGAAACAAAAACAAAAGTTGACTTTTTTTCCTCTACTGTGGTCAGAAATGGAAACTTCATCAGAAACCGTCTGAGCTTGAACTTTGATCTGAGAAAGACGGTGGAGACCGGCACCCTGATTTTAGCTCTCTCTCAAACAAAAACGAACACAAACTCACAGGTACACACACACACTACAGAAGAAAACCTTCAGAACTTGGGACAGATTTTAATTCTAAACACATAATCATTTAACAACTTAGTGCTGCTGCTCTGAACGTTGGCAGAATCGCAGAGAGAGAGAGAGAGAGAGAGGGTTTTATTCACCGCAGAGGGCTATGGACACAGACTGGCGAGCTAAACTAGAAGAGGGCTGTTAACTTCTTTTTTTTTTTTGTTTGTTTGTTTTTTTGTTTTTGTTTTTTTCTATTTGGACTAATTGTATAACAGCCGATGTGTGAACGTGACTCTCACATGAACTGCTCCTCAGATAATCAGTGGAGAAAGGATGGCAGTAAACAAATAAACAAAAAAATATACAGTGTCATATAATGCATAGAATCATGCATAACAGTGAACTTCATGCAGTGCAAAAAATCCAACCTATATATATATAGATATTTATATATGAGTGTATATAAATATGTATATATATATAAATATAAATATTATATATTCCTGTAATAACACAATTCAACTTTTAAGTTTTTGTTAGTTTTTACCCCATTGTGTGTTTATGTACACTGTGTGAGAGATCTGCCTTTGTGCATCATTAACCTCCCCCCTACACACACACACACACACACACACACACACAAACTATACATACTTGTCCCCCTTTGCCGCTGCTGCTATTTGACAAATATTCTTCATATGGAAAATAAAGGAGAGTTTTTATTAAATAAGGAAAACCCCTAAACAAATGAAGAGCATGAAGTTAAAGACTTGCAGAGACTGGATGCAACAGGTTAACCTGGGATCACACACACACACACACACACACACACACACACACACACACACACACACACACGCTCAACCTCCTCGTCAGCTCCTTTCATCCCTCCTTTCTCTCCTTACGTCTTGTTCCCTCACCTCCTCCTCCCCTGGCTTTAAGTACGTCTGTCTTTTTATTTACTGCTGGACTATTATTCTTGTACAGACTGTAAAATGTATTATTTTGTACAACTTTATTGAAGAAAAGAAAATAACTTGTAAAAGATCCCTGTGCCTTGATCACGACTGTACGTGTAGAAAAAAACAAACAGAAAAAAAAAAAAA